TATATTGTGAGCGTAATTCAAACCGATAAGGAGTGAAAATAAGTAATATCAAAACTATTCGTATAACTGTGCTTTTAAACAGAAGTACGATAAAAAATGTTTTTTTAATTCTATTAGGGAGAATTTCATTTTTTTGGTTTAAATTTTACCATCCGTTCGATAAAAATACTTAGTCCGAATTTATCCTTGTGGAATGATTTCCAAATTTTTTTTTTTTTTTTTAAGGTATATTGCTGTTTAAGAAGACAAGCTAGTGTTTAATTACGAACCAGTGTTACTTGGAGTATCTTTGAATTTATTTTTTTTTAACCCTTCAGTACCCACGTTATTCGGCTCACCTTCTTTACTCTCGCCATGAGAAAAAATCTCATAGTCTTAAAAAAAAATTTTTTTTTATTATTGATAATGAAAATAAGTAATTTTTTGATAAACAGTTAAAAAGAATATAAAATTTTCGGAAGGTAAAAAAAATTTCAAGTGGTATTTCCATTTGAATTTAAAAAAATAATTAAGATTGAAACCGAGCGTGAGTAAAATTCTCATAACCTTGGTACTGAAGGGTTAAAAATGTTAAATCTATATTTTTTACGTCCAATACATTAAATTGATGTTTTAAACGTTTAAAATGTTGAATTTACGATTTGAACGTTCAATACGTTGAATCTACGACTTAAATTTCGACTCGGGATAATGTCGAGTTAAAATAAACAAAAGTAGGTAATAGCTATTTAAATATTATTTATACCTAATCGCTAATTTTATATATAAAACAATTTAACACTAGCTACACAGTCACTGTAAAAAATGTACATTGTAAGTTTCAATCTCCATTGGCATCGGATTAATGCTTTTGAATCCCTCCTTCAAGTACTTTTTAACAAAAGTCCCCGTAAGAGACATGCGCGTAATATTAGTGCGATTCAACTTATAAAAGCTCGTCGCTGGATGAGGTTTATCTGTAAGCGGACAGTGTTTAAGCGTAATATCCGCCCCGACTGAACAACTGTAGCCCTGCCGGTGAAGAACCATCAGGGCGCTGCTGACCGGAAAGTGGGGTAGCTTTTGATCGTGATTAGTCCTTAAATTAAGCAGATGCAAATCACAGGGCAAACTCTTACTTATCAACTTAACCTCCGGCTTAATAGTAACATCACTTTCTGTTTTGTCAACAATAAATATATTTATAGGGTAATTAAGAAAGTTGCTAATGTGATTAGCGAACAACGAGGGCTTCGAGTACTCGTCTTTGCCTCCAACGATATCCTCCAGAAGCAACCAGTGTTTGAGGACCGTTTTACGGTTATCCAGCAAGCCCTCACCCATGCCCCGAGAGTCATCGTACAAAGTTCTCCGCTCTAGCATAACTTCTAGCCAACCGGGCTGATAACTAGCTGCACCTTGCGCGTGGTTCACCAGCAGAGTTAATCTCTGCGTATTGTCTTCAATGTAAGCCATAGTTGTTATCGGATAATAGTTACCCTCGATTCCAATTCGCTCTATCTTGGTCCGCTTCAGCATCTGGTGGCCATTAACGTCCGTGTAGAACTCGGGTGGGTCCCCATTAACCAAATCCGTTTGGATTCGCATGAACATTTCCGTTTCCCGGTTTTTCGGCGGAGTTTCAAAGTCAACAACATTTCTAATGTGGATCGCTTCAGCCAGGGGACCATCATGGTGAAAAATAGTGACATGGTGGGTCAGCAATTTTCCATACTCGACAGTCAACCTGGAGCTCAAACTACTCGACACAATGTATATCTTCTGATGCGGCGTATAAGCCTCCAAAATATCCTTATCAGTGTCTCTTAAATTCGGATCCGGCATGAAAAGATAAGCTCCGCTGTGAAACTGCGCAGAAGTATAAGCAGCGAACTGAATCGTGCATTGCGTAACTTTCCCAGTAGACTTTTTGGTAACTCGCTTGAGAAGTCCCGTTTGTCCATCGATCAGCAGCTTCATGCGATGGTTTTCCAACTGGATGTCACTGGAAGGCATCGATTTTATAGGAAAAACGTTGTCCTTCCCGCATCTGTTGCAGTAGACCGTAGACAGCGCCTCAGTAGGGACCTTATCGATCTGCTCGATGTGGTAAGTCGCTATTGCCAAAGGCTTCAAGTCAACGACGAACAACAAAACGTATACATCATGAGTGATACTTGTTGCATTCATAACTGGCGCTATCTGGTACGGGACCGGGTTTTTCGAGGGATCCAGAACACGAACTTTCGGAGAGTTTACTTTAACGCTAACAACTTCTTGCCTTGATTGCGCCAAGGGATTAAACAGGATAACTTTCTTTGACTCATGCCCGTTTATCATTATAGGTATCTTCTTAGGGAGCTTTTCAAAGCTATCGCGATCGCTTTCCGGCAGGACGTAAATGATATTGCTCTTAGAGGAAGTTGCGGTCAGTGACTGTATTGCAAAACTCTGGACATTGGTCATGTCGGAAATAGATTCGAAGAGTTTCAGAGCGTAGTCCTTCATCACGAAGGACTTTGAGGTTCCTGTGATGGCGTCGTGGTGCTGAAAGAGACCGAGATTGCGGCGAGCTTTAACTAATTTCTCGAAATAAGTTTCGTATAATTTGATATCATTGCCGCTTCTTCTTGCTACGTTCAGCGCTACTGTGTAGAGAATTTCAGCGGAGCGCAAGTTTGCTTCCAATTCGCGGTCTAGGATCTTCATGTAGGGTCGGGTGGTGAAGTACCCGCTCCAGTAGGCGGGCCTGCCCTCGCTGAAGATGTCTGAGTATACGAAGAAGTCCCCTTTCAAAGTTGGGAACTTGAGCATACGTTTTTCAATTTCGCGAAAGTAATCTTTGGGAGTTCCGAATACTATTTCCGCGTTGTATTCGTCCTTGCGGCTGTTTATGTAGTCGATTAGGATCTTGTAATTGGTGTACTGCTGGTCCCACTCAATTGGGTGATCGTACCGGAAGTCGTCGCCGAGTGGCATTAGAACGACGTTGTGGGAAAATAGGGATCCGGTTCTGGAGTATTGCTCAAGGAGGAGTTCTGCCATCTGTTTGACATTATTGGGCGTTATGTCAACAGCACGTACGGAGTACTCGGTGTACTCGCCCCGGATCTTCCTGAAGTCGAAGTTGAGGCAAACGTGAGGGTGGGGACCGCACGAGTGCTTTATGTTGTAGATGTCAAAGGGTTGGTTGTGAGTCAGCATGTCGTAAGCTCCGATCTGATCCCATGGCTGCAGCCAGATAAAGTCACCGTACTGCTTTTTGGCGAACCACTGCTTCCACGCGTAGTGGATTCGCTGGATTATGGTCCCGGATACTCCAGAAGCCTTCAGGAGATACGGCAAAGCTCCTCCGTGCCCGAAGGGATCCACTGACCACCCAGATTGTGGCGATACTCCGAGGTTGGATTTCAGCCACTGGTGACCTGGAATTACAAGTTAAATAGCTTTGTTAGATGAGTTCAATAATGAATTTGTGGTGGTTTGATTTAGAACGGAAGGTTGTTTTATTGCAATGTTAAAAGAAAGAAGCTATTTTTTATTTTACTCAATCATTTTTTCAACTTTAAATATAATATCGACACTCGAAAAATTTATTTTCTAGAACCTCTATATTAATTGAGTTTAAGAACGGAATCGATAATTTCTGTCAGAGCCTAATTAAAAAATTAAATAATGCTATGTAAAATGGAATTCATAAATATTTCTGAATAATTGCTATAGTACACAAAGGAAAAAAATAATTTTAAAAAATAACATAAGAAAAATTTTCTGGATATAAGTAGATATCAAGTTCCTGATACCGTAAAAAAAAATTTTTTTAAACCAAAAATGCATATTGAGGGTTTTCTAACGCAACCACGTATCTCGATTTTTGAAGATGAAAGGGTTCAACTGAAAAATTAATAATTAATTATAAACGCGTTACTGAAAAAAAATATTAACCAGATTAATAATAAATACGATAGTATTTTTAAAAAGTATTTTATAATTGATAAATATTGTTTTTAGATAAATATTAATTTTTTACAACCTATTTTTCACCTCATCTCTGAAATTGCCATTTTTGAGATACGAGGTTGCGTCAGAAAACCATCGATATGTTGAAAAAAATTGTATTTTTATTTTCTGACTTCTTACACGGAAAAAAGAAAAATTACATTATATTAATGTACACGCGGCACTCCGTATAGAAAACTGGAAAAATTACAGTTTCGGATTGCAATTATTACAGATTTTATAAGAATTACATTGTAGAATGTAATACTCACATTTTAATGTAATAATTACAATCTGAAGCTGTAATTTTTTCAGTTTTCTATTCGGAGCGTCACGTTTACATTATATAATCTAATTTTTCCATTTTTCTTTATTCCATGTACTTATGAAATAACAAGTTTTAAACTTCTAGCAATGAAAATTAGAAATTTTCTAAAATAAGTTCTCTGGACGTCAAAACGTCGAGATTTATATTATTTATAATTGTTTATACTAGTATCCCTGTTACTGGTTTCGGCTGTTGGGTTTATTGTTTAATAAATAAATAAATAGAGTGCATGTAACTTAGTAATAATTATAATTCTACATTTAATTAGAAATTTAACTACTATATTATCTTTCTTCTGTACAGAATGATAAATAATGAGAAGTGTTATGATATAATGTAATATGATATGATCGCTTTTAAATTGTTAATCAAAGAGAAGTTATCCGTTAATTGTATAAATATAACATTGCCTGGAGTGGATAATTATTTGTTGATCAGTTGAGTATTTACGTAAACTGATAAATCATAATTGTAGAGGTTAATTTTATTTATGATTTATTATCGAGGTAATTATTAATTTTGACGTTATTCAAACTTGCGATAATTAACATCTGGCTGTTTGGATTCATAAATTTTATTCAATAATATGTAGCTTTGGTGATTTTTTATATTGTGTGGGGGTATTGTATGAGTCTTATAAAAAATCGCCAGCTTCAAAGGGCCCTTGGAAGGATTTTTTCTGAATTTTTATTTAATAAGGGTAAAACTTTGGGGTGGCTGGTGGGGTAGTTCCGGGGCAGCTAATGCTTTGGTGATTTTTTATATTGTGTGGGGGTATTGTATGAGTCTTATAAAAAATCGCCAGCTTCAAAGGGCCCTTGGAAGGATTTTTTCTGAATTTTTATTTAATAAGGGTAAAACTTTGGGGTGGCTGGTGGGGTAGTTCCGGGGCAGCTAATGCTTTGGTGATTTTTTATATTGTGTGGGGGTATTGTATGAGTCTTATAAAAAATCGCCAGCTTCAAAGGGCCCTTGGAAGGATTTTTTCTGAATTTTTATTTAATAAGGGTAAAACTTTGGGGTGGCTGGTGGGGTAGTTCCGGGGCAGCTAATGCTTTGGTGATTTTTTATATTGTGTGGGGGTATTGTATGAGTCTTATAAAAAATCGCCAGCTTCAAAGGGCCCTTGGAAGGATTTTTTCTGAATTTTTATTTAATAAGGGTAAAACTTTGGGGTGGCTGGTGGGGTAGTTCCGGGGCAGCTAATGCTTTGGTGATTTTTTATATTGTGTGGGGGTATTGTATGAGTCTTATAAAAAATCGCCAGCTTCAAAGGGCCCTTGGAAGGATTTTTTCTGAATTTTTATTTAATAAGGGTAAAACTTTGGGGTGGCTGGTGGGGTAGTTCCGGGGCAGCTAATGCTTTGGTGATTTTTTATATTGTGTGGGGGTATTGTATGAGTCTTATAAAAAATCGCCAGCTTCAAAGGGCCCTTGGAAGGATTTTTTCTGAATTTTTATTTAATAAGGGTAAAACTTTGGGGTGGCTGGTGGGGTAGTTCCGGGGCAGCTAATGCTTTGGTGATTTTTTATATTGTGTGGGGGTATTGTATGAGTCTTATAAAAAATCGCCAGCTTCAAAGGGCCCTTGGAAGGATTTTTTCTGAATTTTTATTTAATAAGGGTAAAACTTTGGGGTGGCTGGTGGGGTAGTTCCGGGGCAGCTAATGCTTTGGTGATTTTTTATATTGTGTGGGGGTATTGTATGAGTCTTATAAAAAATCGCCAGCTTCAAAGGGCCCTTGGAAGGATTTTTTCTGAATTTTTATTTAATAAGGGTAAAACTTTGGGGTGGCTGGTGGGGTAGTTCCGGGGCAGCTAATGCTTTGGTGATTTTTTATATTGTGTGGGGGTATTGTATGAGTCTTATAAAAAATCGCCAGCTTCAAAGGGCCCTTGGAAGGATTTTTTCTGAATTTTTATTTAATAAGGGTAAAACTTTGGGGTGGCTGGTGGGGTAGTTCCGGGGCAGCTAATGCTTTGGTGATTTTTTATATTGTGTGGGGGTATTGTATGAGTCTTATAAAAAATCGCCAGCTTCAAAGGGCCCTTGGAAGGATTTTTTCTGAATTTTTATTTAATAAGGGTAAAACTTTGGGGTGGCTGGTGGGGTAGTTCCGGGGCAGCTAATGCTTTGGTGATTTTTTATATTGTGTGGGGGTATTGTATGAGTCTTATAAAAAATCGCCAGCTTCAAAGGGCCCTTGGAAGGATTTTTTCTGAATTTTTATTTAATAAGGGTAAAACTTTGGGGTGGCTGGTGGGGTAGTTCCGGGGCAGCTAATGCTTTGGTGATTTTTTATATTGTGTGGGGGTATTGTATGAGTCTTATAAAAAATCGCCAGCTTCAAAGGGCCCTTGGAAGGATTTTTTCTGAATTTTTATTTAATAAGGGTAAAACTTTGGGGTGGCTGGTGGGGTAGTTCCGGGGCAGCTAATGCTTTGGTGATTTTTTATATTGTGTGGGGGTATTGTATGAGTCTTATAAAAAATCGCCAGCTTCAAAGGGCCCTTGGAAGGATTTTTTCTGAATTTTTATTTAATAAGGGTAAAACTTTGGGGTGGCTGGTGGGGTAGTTCCGGGGCAGCTAATGCTTTGGTGATTTTTTATATTGTGTGGGGGTATTGTATGAGTCTTATAAAAAATCGCCAGCTTCAAAGGGCCCTTGGAAGGATTTTTTCTGAATTTTTATTTAATAAGGGTAAAACTTTGGGGTGGCTGGTGGGGTAGTTCCGGGGCAGCTAATGCTTTGGTGATTTTTTATATTGTGTGGGGGTATTGTATGAGTCTTATAAAAAATCGCCAGCTTCAAAGGGCCCTTGGAAGGATTTTTTCTGAATTTTTATTTAATAAGGGTAAAACTTTGGGGTGGCTGGTGGGGTAGTTCCGGGGCAGCTAATGCTTTGGTGATTTTTTATATTGTGTGGGGGTATTGTATGAGTCTTATAAAAAATCGCCAGCTTCAAAGGGCCCTTGGAAGGATTTTTTCTGAATTTTTATTTAATAAGGGTAAAACTTTGGGGTGGCTGGTGGGGTAGTTCCGGGGCAGCTAATGCTTTGGTGATTTTTTATATTGTGTGGGGGTATTGTATGAGTCTTATAAAAAATCGCCAGCTTCAAAGGGCCCTTGGAAGGATTTTTTCTGAATTTTTATTTAATAAGGGTAAAACTTTGGGGTGGCTGGTGGGGTAGTTCCGGGGCAGCTAATGCTTTGGTGATTTTTTATATTGTGTGGGGGTATTGTATGAGTCTTATAAAAAATCGCCAGCTTCAAAGGGCCCTTGGAAGGATTTTTTCTGAATTTTTATTTAATAAGGGTAAAACTTTGGGGTGGCTGGTGGGGTAGTTCCGGGGCAGCTAATGCTTTGGTGATTTTTTATATTGTGTGGGGGTATTGTATGAGTCTTATAAAAAATCGCCAGCTTCAAAGGGCCCTTGGAAGGATTTTTTCTGAATTTTTATTTAATAAGGGTAAAACTTTGGGGTGGCTGGTGGGGTAGTTCCGGGGCAGCTAATGCTTTGGTGATTTTTTATATTGTGTGGGGGTATTGTATGAGTCTTATAAAAAATCGCCAGCTTCAAAGGGCCCTTGGAAGGATTTTTTCTGAATTTTTATTTAATAAGGGTAAAACTTTGGGGTGGCTGGTGGGGTAGTTCCGGGGCAGCTAATGCTTTGGTGATTTTTTATATTGTGTGGGGGTATTGTATGAGTCTTATAAAAAATCGCCAGCTTCAAAGGGCCCTTGGAAGGATTTTTTCTGAATTTTTATTTAATAAGGGTAAAACTTTGGGGTGGCTGGTGGGGTAGTTCCGGGGCAGCTAATGCTTTGGTGATTTTTTATATTGTGTGGGGGTATTGTATGAGTCTTATAAAAAATCGCCAGCTTCAAAGGGCCCTTGGAAGGATTTTTTCTGAATTTTTATTTAATAAGGGTAAAACTTTGGGGTGGCTGGTGGGGTAGTTCCGGGGCAGCTAATGCTTTGGTGATTTTTTATATTGTGTGGGGGTATTGTATGAGTCTTATAAAAAATCGCCAGCTTCAAAGGGCCCTTGGAAGGATTTTTTCTGAATTTTTATTTAATAAGGGTAAAACTTTGGGGTGGCTGGTGGGGTAGTTCCGGGGCAGCTAATGCTTTGGTGATTTTTTATATTGTGTGGGGGTATTGTATGAGTCTTATAAAAAATCGCCAGCTTCAAAGGGCCCTTGGAAGGATTTTTTCTGAATTTTTATTTAATAAGGGTAAAACTTTGGGGTGGCTGGTGGGGTAGTTCCGGGGCAGCTAATGCTTTGGTGATTTTTTATATTGTGTGGGGGTATTGTATGAGTCTTATAAAAAATCGCCAGCTTCAAAGGGCCCTTGGAAGGATTTTTTCTGAATTTTTATTTAATAAGGGTAAAACTTTGGGGTGGCTGGTGGGGTAGTTCCGGGGCAGCTAATGCTTTGGTGATTTTTTATATTGTGTGGGGGTATTGTATGAGTCTTATAAAAAATCGCCAGCTTCAAAGGGCCCTTGGAAGGATTTTTTCTGAATTTTTATTTAATAAGGGTAAAACTTTGGGGTGGCTGGTGGGGTAGTTCCGGGGCAGCTAATGCTTTGGTGATTTTTTATATTGTGTGGGGGTATTGTATGAGTCTTATAAAAAATCGCCAGCTTCAAAGGGCCCTTGGAAGGATTTTTTCTGAATTTTTATTTAATAAGGGTAAAACTTTGGGGTGGCTGGTGGGGTAGTTCCGGGGCAGCTAATGCTTTGGTGATTTTTTATATTGTGTGGGGGTATTGTATGAGTCTTATAAAAAATCGCCAGCTTCAAAGGGCCCTTGGAAGGATTTTTTCTGAATTTTTATTTAATGTCATCAGTGTTTGGGGTGGCTGGAGGGGTAGTTCTGGGGCAGCTAATGCTTTGGTGATTTTTTATATTGTGTGGGGGTATTGTATGAGTCTTATAAAAAATCGCCAGCTTCAAAGGGCCCTCGGAAAGATTTTTTCAGAATTTTTTTTTAATGTCGTAAGTGTTTGGGGTGGCTGGGGGGGTAGTTCTGGGGCAGCTAATGCTTTGGTGATTTTTTATATTGTGTGGGGGTATTGTATGAGTCTTATAAAAAATCGCCAGCTTCAAAGGGCCCTCGGAAAGATTTTTTCAGAATTTTTTTTTAATGTCGTAAGTGTTTGGGGTGGCTGGGGGGGTAGTTCTGGGGCAGCTAATGCTTTGGTGATTTTTTATATTGTGTGGGGGTATTGTATGAGTCTTATAAAAAATCGCCAGCTTCAAAGGGCCCTCGGAAAGATTTTTTCAGAATTTTTTTTTAATGTCGTAAGTGTTTGGGGTGGCTGGGGGGGTAGTTCTGGGGCAGCTAATGCTTTGGTGATTTTTTATATTGTGTGGGGGTATTGTATGAGTCTTATAAAAAATCGCCAGCTTCAAAGGGCCCTTGGAAGGATTTTATCTTAAATTTTTTTTTCCAAGTGTAAGTTTTTGGGGTGGCTGGAGGGGTGGTTTTTGTGTTTTGAGGAGCTAATATATCATTTTTAGGGCTCACTGTCTCTATTCGAAACTGAAAAACCATTTTCAGTTTCAGGAGCAAAAAAAATTTTTTTTTGATTTTCGTTCATAAATGAACGTTCGGAACTTCAGGTACATTCAATAATAATGTTTTACATTAATTAACTGATCAATAAATATAAATATTTGCAATATCTCTTGTTTATTTATTTTATAATTATAAAAATGTTTTTTTAATAAGCAGTCAGACTCTTTTGTTATTTTAATTAATTTTTTTTCAGTCGAAAATTTTGAAGTTAAAAGAACAGTTGAAAAATAAATCACAATTTATTTTTTATTGCTTTAAAATTGAACAGAATTATAAGAAGAAACCGGCCGCATTTCATCTCATTATAATTTTTTAAGTGGTCTCCATTGCGTGCAAAGTTGATACTTTTTAAAGTGAAGCTGCTCTTCCGGGCCATATTCAAACATCAAACATCAAACATCAAGCCTCAATGAATTTGCAAACCAGAAATGGACAACCGACATGAATGATAAGTGTTTCATATTACAAGACCATCAACCATTCTCGTTTCCTATCACTCCTGTATCGACTTACGCCCATCGCCAGTATTTCAAAATTGCGATCCACCTCTACAGCAATGATTCTCCGATCAGTATTGCATTGCTCGCAGCAATATGCATTGAATCAATACCCTTGATTACAGAAACTTTAATTAAAACGGAACTTTCTGAAAATTAAATTTTTATTTTGCTCGAAAAGACTAACTGGATCACGCAATGCCAAGTGGATCATGAGAGTGATAATCAGCATTAACGGGCTTGTTGTTGGATTTCGAATAATATTTTACACTCAACATTAAATATTTGAATAACACAATTGAAGCGTGGAATTTAATTATAACAGCATCAATCGGAAAAAATAAAAAGACAGCGCAGAAATTGAATTTTTGATCCTGATTAAAGCACAAAGCAGATAACGTGTAACTGATCGCGCGTATCAGATCCACAAATCATTGGATCAAACATTCATCTGAATGAAATGGTACCAGCACTAACTTTTACGTTTTAAATGGTAAATTCATTTTGTTTTTGTTCTTTTTTGTTTTCATTTTTTACATAAATCAACAGAGAATATTTTCGAGCTGCGATTGTTCTTCTACAGTTGTGTACTGGGGATACTCATGACCAAAACTTGTCTGTGTTTGTATGAATATATATACATGTATATTCGCACTTGTGAAATTTTTCCCCGATCCGTTTGATACATCCGCCTGCGTCTCGGGGATTATCGAAAACGGTTTGCGCTTGCTGTCAATCGATAACCAATTATCACGGATCGAGAGACGTGTTCCATTATCCGGCGCTCAACGAACAGCCTCTATATTTGTTACACTCTGGACTGAGTTTAAATTCTCGCGTTATAGTCTGTAGACTATAAACTATACGTATAGTCACTATATCACTCTCTGTTTCTCATCAATGAACATCAACCCATTCGACCGTCGCGGCTTATCTAAAAATTATCAACTTTATTTTATGAAATTTTCCGGAATAATATAGAATAATAATAATTATTATCTATAGTATGATTATAATAATATTTCAATAAAATAGTTGATTTGATAATCATGCAATTAATTAATTTTTAGTTGCAAAAACTAATTTCAAAAATTTTTATTTTTAAATATTTGTAATTATAATGTTCAATTTTAAAAATCTTTATTATTTGTAAAGTTACTTTAACATTATTGTGACGATATAATTTTCAAAAAAAGTTATTAAAGTGATTGATTAAAATGAAAAGTCATATGACTTGCTTATATACTGAGCTATTATGAGCTAAATAAAAATCAGTAGCCATGTAAGAATATTTTAATCGTAGGTGTATTAAAAGAAAATATTTGGCACTGAAAGAAATAGTTTTGTTCAAGTTTATTAATTGTAAAAAAAAATTAGAGATAATTACACGCAGAAGACGTAAAAAAACTGTACTATGTAACAAATTGGGAGTTCGGATTGTCTTTAACTCAAAGTACCGGAATAAAAAAATAATACTCTGCGTGTCGAGTTAATTTGGAGGAATCATCCACTTTGCACTCCAAAAATTTTTTATAGCGTCCACAAAAAATAGAGATATTAGTATTATTATTATTAGTGTTAATAAATAAATAAATAAATAATAATAACTAGCAACCTTGCAGTCACTATGTGACTGCTGGGAATTGTGAACTATAAATAAATAAAATTTTGCTTTATTAAATAATGAATTTTGTTAAATTGCACTGTACTTTTTGCACTATTGACATTTTTAAAGATATAAGCTCATC